ATATATAATATGGCTACCATTACACAAGTAACGAGGTGACCTACCGACTTGACCTATCGATGAGCAAATTGTCACGTACCAGCTGTCGAGGTGACATGTTAATCTCTCAACAAGAATCTCATGAGAGCAGCTAATCGTCGAAGTGAAGACCGTCATTAAATAGCGTATATATGTATATTGATGTGTCGTGTGACACCTATGTCACCATCCTATCATTAGGACGTCGCGAACAGATTTCTTACCGCACAATCTATAAGTTTATTTTCTTTTCTGCCTTTGAAGCCTGACAAAGGTGGAGAATCATCAAGGAGTCGTATAAATATACGTGCCCTCCATCCCTTGGAATATCGTAATCATCTTCATCATGTTCTAAATTATGATCTCGATAATCATCTCCATCATCATCATCGGTTTACTCTTATGTCACTCGCGGGTTTTGTGACGCCACGAACAAAACAGGACCTTATGTCCTGAAAAAGATTCAATATCTTGAAAGGTGCGAGGAGTGTAGAGTTCATACTCAAAATTAGCTAGAAGATCTTGAAAGTGAGGGAGAACAAAGAAAGATGAATTGCACGAGAGAGTTCATAATGCAACAACTTAATGAGCTAAAAGAGCAAATATAGGCGATGATACATAAAGTAGGAAAAAAATTGTCTAGGACTTGTTAGACTCGTACCACTATAAACATAGGATCATTGGGTTCGATATTACATAGACAAGAGCCACCGAGGACAAGGTTGAGAAGAGCCCTATTTTCGAAACTAAAAGAAGAATAAGAAGATGACGAGTTATAAATTCCAGAAGAAGAACCTTCTGACTCCTCAGAGGAGGAGGCAGAAGAAAGAAGACAAAACCATAAGAGTTTTGCCAACCAGAAGTGAAGATTTGCCACGAGCTATCTCCTTTGTCCGGGGTTGGATCAGGACGAATTACGACGGCGAAACTTGAGCAATCATTACTAGTTGTCCCTGCTTCAGAGACAACAGCTGAGCTGAGAGTTGGCAGAGCGGCTCAAGAGCTAAGACAGGAGTCTCCGAAACATTCCCTCCTTTCTAATTCCTAACCTCCAGCAAGGGCAACAATTCAGATGATTCTCTAACCTTTTTAACTCGTGGCTACTTCTCCACTTGTTGTTTAATTGATTCAGGCCCTTTCAGGCCTAGCCACTTTGACCCATCTTTTAGTCCCAACCACTTTCCTCCGTCCTAGCATTCTCTCATTCCGGCAGTCTTCTTTGCCCTCTCTCTTCTTTGGAACCGAATAAGAACTCTCAGGTTTTTTCTTCCTCTCGTCTCCTAAAAGACGAATCTTCGAAGCAAGAAGCCTGAAATCCCTGATTAGTGCTTCTTCGCTCACCGATTTCTTGGTGTATATACAAATAAAAAAGGCCGAAGGATAAAAAATTCAAGAAATGAGGAGGAAAAGTGCTAATCACTCCCTATTTGTAGTGAGAAGCAGCATGGAAATCTAGAGAGTACAATTATTAGCAATGTAAGTATAAATAATTATATCATTTAATTCTCTTATTCTTATGACAGCTGTCACTATTAAGGAAGTAAAATAATCGGGGTACTAGTTATGTACATCACTAATGTGGTCGCTTGAATCTAGAGAAGATCTAACGGGTCGCATGAAGAAAGCAGTAGAAGCATGAACATTCATCATTGCACCAGTTGGTCGAATCTTAGGCCGACCAAATAAACCTCTGACCACTAAGGATCTTTGTGCGCATACGTTGATAATTACTCAGCTGACGTTTGACATTAGCATTATCAATAGCCGCCCAAGATTATTCCAACTGCACAAGCTCATCGACTGGAGGAAAGTTGTCTGTCAGATTACGGTAAATACCTTCTACCTGATGGAATAATCCTTCTTGAGGACAATGAGCCCTCATAACAAACTTTTTCGGAAAAGGTTAATGTAAATCATTTGGTCAGCCGATACTCCTGGTCGACCGAATGAATATTAAGTGATTAAGCCAGCCAATTATGAACACAAAACTATGTCAAATAGGGTTACAAATGGAATGTTGTCGGGAACGGTTACAAAGTCAACGTGTGTTTACGTTAGTTGCAAATATGTAAATATGTAACTATTCATAAATAATGATAACATTCCCATAAATAGTGAAAACCATATAATTTATCATATCCTTTCAATGACTTATAAATAAGACGGTAATTTTTACAAAAAAAAAAGACTACTGAATAATTCCCCATAAATTGAGTATTATTTATGTCTTATTCTTCTATTATTCCCTTTCCACTCACTCGACCAACACTATATTCTTTTGGGGTGATCCACAGAACAATTTATGATTCAATAATATTATTTAATTTTTTTAGCACCATCATATTTCACTTTCATGAGAAACTCTCCTATGAATTTAAGCAAATCGGTATAAAATTAGAATTAGTCCATATTTTGTGAAAAAAGGATAAAATTTTGATACTAGTGCCTTTTCGTCGAGAAAAAAAGAGGAAAAATCACAAATATCCCAAGATCTAATTATCCTATATGAAAAGAATTAGAAAAATGATATTAACATTCACGATCGGGGACCAGAGTTGGGGAGGTCAATCCTAAAGTTAAAAAAAAAGATGGGTCGGGATATCCGGCTACAATTTAACCAGGATAAATTTTAAAACAATTACATGATATGTCTATTATCTTTAATAAGTTTAAAATTATATGGTTTTTTATTTATAAATAATTAAAAATAATGAAATATTTATTATACAAAATACTAAACATAAAATAATAACATCAATTATATATAAATAACATAAAAATTATTCCTGTTCAACTCTTTTATAGATCATTCTGATAAAAATTTTGGTCAAGTTGTCCTCAATTTTCTTTTCAAAACAGTACTGTCTATGGGTCGATTGACTTTTTTGAAGTATTCAATGGGTGGCATTTTTATGTTACATTTATAAACCCCATATGATATCATTCTAAGCATTATTGGCGAAGCTTTTGCTAGAAATTGACAAGTCATATAAGCAAATTAAGAAAAAAATTGCCAGCTTCTTCATGAAGTGCTATGTGAATTTTTTAATATAGACTTTTTTTGTATTTTTAGGATAAGAGCAGACCATATATTAAATGCTGATCTATGAATAAGTCTTTTGGTTTTAAATACGACTTTCTTGTTTCATTCAACAAATGGCAGTTTTTATCATTTTTATATTTTATTTTATAAGAACATTCAAAACATCTAAAAAATTATTTGAGTGATTTTAAAAATGTATTTATTAATATTAAAAATAAAAACGAAATTAAAATTTAAAATTGATCTTAAGCAAATCACAATCTTTAATATAAATTTGCTTTTATACATACACTGTTCAATGTAAAAAAAACACAGAAAAAAAGAAGAAGCAAAAACTATTTCCATCAGTTTCAACGTCTTTTATGATATTTGTACTTTGGAACTCAATTCGGGGGAGGCTTTCTGGACGCAGATTTATGGAGAGTCAACAATTTTATTTTTAACATTCTATTACAGATGTGAAGCAGAGGTCTACTACTTATTCTTATATTTTATATTAGATAAAGATGTTGATATAAAATGAGATCCGATTGACTAAATTGCGTATTTCTGGGCGCGCGCTCCAGGTCTCTTGTTTCAGAAATTTACTGTTTTTGTCGTGCCTGTTAAGTACTTCAAATTAAGTTTTGTTTATTTTAATTTAACGTTAGCTTGAGCGAAAGCTAGCATTTTGCAGCATGTTGGCGCATGCGAGCAGCTGGTGGTCCGAAATTCGTGGATGGATGATATTTTCTTATCCAGGAGGCGAGAATTCAAATATATTTATTTCTTTGAAGTTTTCTATCACCAAGCATAATTTTTCTATTTTCATAATAGTCGTCCAATTTTTTGTGTGCGGTCAATCTGATATTATGTTTTTCTAATTTAGTCTATCATTCACACTAAATTGATTATAATTTAACTCTCAAATACTATTTTAGGTTAAGGGCCATAATGAGAATGTCAGTTACTTTATGATTTAGGTTTAAGAGCCCTCATGAGAATGTCAGTTACTTTAAGTCGAGGGGATTGTGAAACGCTTTAAGTAGATTAAAGCTAAACTCATAAACTTCGAGACTCCTTTTCGTGTAGTTGTTGGAATTTCACTTGAAACTCCGAAGTTATGCATGCTTTTGCGAAATCACTCTTGGGAAGTTACGCCAATGGGATAAAACTATGAAGCCATTAGGTAGTGAATAATTTATTGATGAGTGAGATTTAACGATTTTACACCTCACTTTATTTTCCATATTTACCTTTATTTGATTGTGATTTTGGGTTGTTTTCAATCATTTGTTTCTCATTGTTTCATACATTCAATGTGAGGTGGTAAACATGATGGATTAAGTATGCATGGAGCTTGAATTATGTAGCCATTATCTTGAAAAAATAAGTATAAATATAACAAATTAGCCATCTTCTTGAAAAATCTAATTTAAATCGAGCCATGTAGCTACCATGAAGTGTGGAAGGATCTAAAATTGACAACCACCAATCTAAAAAATTATGACTATATCATATCTAAGATAATTGAAGTTATATAAACTTCAAACTTAATAATCTCTTGTAGTCAAAATTTCTAATGTGCTAGCTTAGTGGCCATGTT